CCTCCCAGCCCCAGCTTCCCCTCCGCGCCCGAACGTTACAGTACCATAATTTCCCCCTCACCAAAATTTGAATAATGATTAATATGCGCATGCAATCATTTTCTAGCGCGATGAATCGTGGAATGACGCTTATGTACCCATACACCGACGAGGATCCAAACTTCTGTTCTAACGCAGCTATATCCTCTTCTGGTTAACGTAAGTTTATCATTTCCATCTTTGACACGTGTATCAAATGGTATTTTACAGCATTTTTCTCTACTTATACAGCTGGTAAATTCTCCAGTTACTTTGACCAGTGTTGCATCGCCTGATGGTCTGCTGCTGGCAATTTTAACATCTATTTCTTATTCTGAACGGATTGCCAATTCAAAAGTTCGGAACCACTTGACAGGGCCTCAGCCGTTTCGGAATGCCACTGCAATTGTTCAAGGATTACAGGAACTTTCCAGCCAAGCGTTTGGACCAAAAAAAAATTGCGATTTTCTTAGGCGAATTCAAAAAAAACTCACGAAAATGAGTTTAGATCTGAAAAACAATTTTTTTGAATAAAACATACACATGTGAGAGGTATTAGTAACAGTAGAAGTAATATTTGTTGTGCATGTCCATCCACCTCTGGAAACTGGGCAACATTTCTGCAAATCCGGACAATCGTCATCACAGTGACACAAATTCACGCCGTAAATGAGTTGATCTGTTAGTTCCGGGCATTGTCCACGTCTGGTCCGTAAGCATTTATTCTGGATTTCGTTGATCACAGTCTGAATTTCGTAGTGCTGCGGCTCTTTTACTTCTGTTCCATGCTCTTTTGAAAGCGCAAGAAAGGATTCGCGATTTTCCTTCAAATTAGCCAAGTTTTCTTGTTTCCTACGTAACTCCGTATGTTCCCAAACTTTGTGGTAAATTTTCCGGTCAACATCAGCGGATCGTTTTAGTGCCAGGCGTAATGCGTCGCACGCCGCATTCAGATCTGCCGTCTTCGGTTTCAACGATCCAATGATACGGCCAAAATGTGAGACGCACCAACACTCATCGGTTCCGGTGCGGCATTGTGCCGGACGGTAATGTTTGCCTGATGGTTCACACTGCGGAATATAAACGCCAACAAGGTTATTTGTTGGCAGGTCGTTTAAAACTTGACGTCGTCGCTGCGTACACACTGCAACAATTTTTTTAAAGTTTTGTGTTGAAAATCCGTAAAATTTCCTGAAATTCAAGAAGGAGCGTTTCAGCGAATCTTGCGTAAGCATTAGCAGCTTATTACGAAAAGCCAGTGCAAGCTTACCTGACAGTGCAGAATTACAGAGAGGCGTGCAAGTGTTGTCGTAGCTTCACGGCTTTTGACGCTCTGTATAAATGTACTAAAGCGCAAGCTTTCGAAATTTTTACTGTTTCAGAAAGACGAGGCTGGTGACAAACTTTAACTAAGCAGCAGCAACAACAGCAGCAGTAGCAGCAGTAGCGGCAGCAGCAGCAGCAGTAGCAGCAGCAGCAGTAGCAGCAGCAGCAGTAGCAGTAGCGGCAGCAATTTATTCACCTAACCAAATAATTGGCCAACGCACGGGCTGCCCGTGCGAAGATGCGTTTTTTGCATGGTTCCCCTCAGTTTTTGTTGCTACCGGCACCGGTTTTTTCAGCGAATGCTTCTAGCTAAACAAATTAATACTGGCCACCAGAACTGTCAGGAAAGATCCCCTTGAAATTTCAGCTTTCTAGCTTCCATGGCCCCTGAGTTAGCAACTTACTGGGACAAAATTTTCACGGGCCCGTGCATGTTTACCAAGCATG